GTCATTAATGAAGATTGCGGTCCTACATTTTGTGGCTCTCAAGGTTCTAGCTACATTGATGTAACTGCAGTTGGAACTGATTTGCTGGAAGATGTTTCTTGTTGGCATTTGCCTACTTATGATTCTCTCTCCGACCACAGAGCAATTGAGTTTGATATTGTTCTTAATTCCAATTCTCAAACAAAAAATGGTGACTTTTGTATCTTCAACCTGATAAAAGCGAACTGGAAACTCTTCTATGACACATCTAATTGCTTGCTGTCAAACATTAGTAATCGCATCGATTCCTGCCAAAATCCAGAATCCTTACATGATCTCGTAGATAATCTCCTTTCTATTATTCTAAATTCTTGTAAAATGTCAATTCCAATTAAAAAGCAAGGGATGCACAGAATTCCTTGGTGGACAACGGAAATTGGGTGCATGAGAAAGCACGTTAATGCTGCTGCACGTTAATGCTCCAGAGATGTAAAAATATCGCTTTAAGAGAAATTTATAAAAGTAAATACAAAGAATTAAGAACTAATTATAATTTAAAACTTTTAGATGCCAAATTAAGCTCATGGAAGGGATTTTTGGATAAAATTAATGTAAATAATGTGTGGAAAAAGATTTATACCTATGGTGTCAAACAGCAGTTTCAGAAGAGAGTTGAACTCAGTGGAATTGCTCTTCCATGTGGAACTGTGACTAAAATTCTTTTGAAGAGACAATTAATGAGATTATCTTCCATTCTTTTCCTGATGATTGTGAGAATGATGATGATGATTGTCACAAGGAAATACGAAATGACGCTCTTATCAATAGCAACATAACGAATGACCCACCTTTTACCATCCATGAAATTGATGCTGTTATTAATAAATTGAAGTTAAGAAAGTCACCTGGCCCTGACTCCATTCCTAATGAAGTTGTCAAGAAATTGCATGTAATGCACCCTGGACTTTTCCTAAAAGTTTTTAATTCATGTCTTCGTCTCAAGACCTTTCCTCTCTGTTGGAAAAAAGCTAGGATTATCCTGATTCCCAAAGTGAACGACGTCCGTATCCCTAATTTAGACAACCTTAGGTGTATCAGTTTGCTGTGAACTTTGGGTAAATGTTTTGAAAGACTCATTATCAACAGAGTGGCCTGGCGTTTACACAAAGATTATTTTTTCAATAAGAACCAATTTGGTTTTATGCCACAAAAATGTACCGAGGATGCCTTGATGAAACTTAATGAAATTGTTTTAAAAGGAAAAAAGAGAAATTTTCATAAAATCCTAGTTTTCTTGGATATTAAAGGAGCTTTTGATAATGCTTGGTGGCCTGGTATTCTTAGCCTTTTAAAAAGATCTAACATTCCTAACAACTTATTTGCCGTAATTTCCAGCTTCTTGAAGGATAGATCTGTGACTTTATCTTTAAGTCATTCCTCAAAAGGGAGATTTTTAAACAAGGGATGTCCTCAGGGATCAGTTTCTGGACCTTTTCTCTGGAACATCATTATAAATGATTTTTTGGAAAAAATCTTGGCTTTCTCTTGTGAAACGATTGTTTTTGCCGACGACTTACTTCTTTGTTTTCAGGGAAAGTCTTTTCATGATATAAGCAGATAAGCGCAGCTTACCCTTGATTTTGTATCAACCTGGGCAAAGAATTATAAATTAGAGTTTAATGCTGTCAAATCAAAAGTTATGATCTTGGAGAAAAGAGAAAGCAACACCCTCACTAGCAACCTCACCCTTAATGGGATTCCCCTCGATTGTATGAAGGAACTAAAATATCTTGGTATTGTCCTTGATAGTAAATTCTGTTGGAAGCAACATATTCTGCATCTTTCAAATAAGTGTGAAAAAATTCTGCTAGGGCTTAACAGAGTTGCCAGAAACATCTTTGGGATCAAGTCCAATGTCTCATCCCTCCTTTATAAACAAGGCATTGTTCCATTTATCTGTTATGGTTCACGAATCTGGGGATCTGCCTTGAAGAAGAAAATAAATTGTCGTCTCCTGCGAAAAATTCAACGAAGAATACTTCTTCGAGTTATTTCTGGGTATCGAACGATATCCTATGATGCTGTGTTTGCTATCTCGGGCTTTCCACCTATTGACATCTTTATAATCAGAAATAATGAATTCAAGAATGCAATAAAGAACTGTACCAATAAGAGTCTAGATGGTACCCTGCGATTTTCTGATCTCCCTCATCCTTCTGAACGATTTCCCCTTAATTTTGTTAATTACCGTAAAAATATTGAAGACAACTTTCCTGTTGTCTGCTTTACAGATGATAGCAAAATTAACAATAAGGTTGGCCTTGCATTTGTTATTTTCCAAGATTTTATTGAAATTGAAACTCGCCAATTTAGAATAAGAGATGAATGTAGTGTGTTTCAGGCTGAATTACTTTGCATAGCTCAAGCAGTCTCATGGATCTGTAAAAACGAAAACCTTTCATCGGATTTTTTAATTTGCAGTGATTCTCTTTCATCTTTATATGCTTTAAATAACATTGATTCTCAAAATCAACTGATTGTTAAAGCGCAAATTGATCTCAATTTTCTTCGAAGCCCCCAGAGGTGTAAAAGTTTCCTTTTCTTTTGTTCGAGGTCATACGGGAATCTATGGCAATGAACGTGCTGACTGGCTTGCAAAAGAAGCTACAAAATTAAGTTTTTTGATTCCTATGAGCATTCCGAAATCATATTATAAAAATATTTTTAAGGAAAAAATTATTTCTGAGTGGAATAAATTATATCAAATATCAAATAATGCGCTCTTCACCAAGGAATTTATTCCTTCTATTCAGAGACGTTTAAAGGCTAAACACTTTCACACAACCTAATTTTATACTTACGCAGTTTCTAACTGGGCATGGAAACTTTAAAGCCTATTTGAAACGCTTTAATTTGTCGCCTACTGACCAGTGTCTCTTGCTCCAGTGACTCAGTCCAGGATGTCAAGCATCTAATATTTGCTTGTGCTAAATTCTCTTCCGAAAGACGTACTCTCATGAATTGCCTACAAAAGAACAATATAGCGTGGCCTCCTCCTTTCTCTGCCTTTGTTCAGAGCAAATCTTCTTTTACATCGTTTTGTGCATATATTAATAGCATTTTTTCTCGTATTGTTTAGATTGTCAATTTAATTATTTTTATTTAAAAAAAAAATTGTGTTTTTTTTTACTATTTTATTATTTTGTGTGTGTTTGCTAACAATTACTGTGTACGTATGTATCTCTCTCTCTCTCTCTCTCTGGTTTTTTTTAAAGTGCGTATATATATATATATACATATATATATATATATATATATATATATATATATGTCTGTGTGTATATTCTTAAGTATTTGTGTGTATGCATGCTTTTACTCATTTGTATTTTGAAAATCTTATTCTGATCACACATGTGCTTCCAAACCTTCACCATTGTATAATTTTATTTACTGAATGTCTCCGTTTTTGCATGTGAGCAATGTTGTATTTTGTACTGTGTTTATTGTATTTGCATCCCGTCTTGTTTCTTTTTACCTTTCAATTTCCCATTTGTGCTTGTATCCCTGTACTTAAAACTTCCTACCACTATTGATCGAGTATTGACTTACGTTTGTAAGCCTTGTGTTATACTTGTTGGCACACAAGGAGTCTACCTAGAGTCTCAAAAAAAAACACCAGACAATCAAAGATGGCAAATGCTGGATTATTACAAATTCATTTCAAATATCTTTAAGTGCTGCACAATGTATTGGTAAATCACACTATTGTAAAATTTTCAATTTATATGCAATTCATTGTGTTGTGAAAATAACATGCATTTTCATCTAAGGATAAATCTTACACATTAATCAAAAACTTTTATATTAACTTATCTAATATTTTCTATTCGCTATCCTCAAAAGTAAATCTTTTGTGTGAAAATTTTAAAATAATTGTTTCAATCTTCAGATGTATTTCAAAACAAATGTTCATAGGATTGACAATTTATATATTAAACTTTTGTTCAAAACCGTAACACACCTTGTGGGTTTTTCTTAAAGAGGCATAACTTGATAGCATATAATTACAGAGGGAAAAAATGAAATATACTAATGCAATTATATTTCAGAACTGTATAGTATTGAAAAAACATACCGTTAAGAAATAAAAGCATTTATTCGAATTTTATGTACAGAGATTCACTGATATTTTCTATGGTACTTGATTGTTGTTTTGTTTCACATATCAACAACAAATAATCATATCTTTAGAAAGATCCTACTATATCTTAGGAATTTTTATCGATCAGTTCTTTCAAGAATAAAATAACAATGTTTCAACTTTCTATATATCTGTATTACTGTTAGTCGAAATTGACCCAAAAAATAATTCTTTTGGCATACATCTCTTTAAAAAAAATATGCTTCACATGTACAGAATGAAGTAATGTTATTTATAGTCTTTTTAATAGACTATATGAGAAAAGCATTTAATAAATTGCAATGAATTGAATTGAAAACAAAATTTTCACATGCTTAATTTACTTATAATATATTTACATAATATTAAAACTAATTGTTAATAAATTAGGCATGTTAAATGAATTGCAATTATTAATTTAAACTAGCTATGTATAACAATTTTCTATGTTTCTGTATGGGAGAAATTTTCACGAAAACAATTTCGTTTGTTACCCTATAGCATAATAGTTTGTTTTAAACAATTTCTTTATAAAAAGCCCATTTCTTAATATGATTCATTTCTTAATAATGAAAGAGTTCTTTTTTCCACAAAAAATTCGTACTATAGTTCACTCTCTCTCTCCCTATATATATTCATTTATATATATATATATCTTGTTCAAATTTCCAATCGTTAATAAAATACTAGCTCACAAATACAGTTTTTAAACTTGTTGTGGAGGGCACTTGATGTTAATACAGTTTTTCCAAACATTAATTCATTAATTAAATTAAGAAGTGAATTTTTCGTAAAAAACAAAAATAGCGGTCCAACAGCATAAACATAAAGGAAAATCGTTCGTTGCGTCCCTGTAACGCGTTGGACTTCTAATCCAAAGGTCATGGGTTCGAATCCCATCTTGAAGGGCCTAATTTCTGAGAATGGGATTTATTTTTTACTATACTATTTTATTAGAATAATTAAATTAATTAATTGTTACAAACAAACAAAAAATAGTCCAACACCAATAGTCCAATAGTATATTTCTGAAAGGAAAATAGAATATGTATATTATTTATTTTTTTAAAGGAAAATCGCATTTTATTTTGTCACTTAATATTGGGATTCTGTCATATGTATATACATATTTATATTTATTGTAACTATTTAATTAAAAGTAATTAAAATAAAAATTTTCTTTGTTGACCTAAGTAGGAATAGACTCAAATTTTTTTATATTACTTGTTTCAACTAAGGAGACACTGATTTTTTTAAAAAAAAGTTTCAAACTTTTGTGGGTGATAATTACTAAATCAGACGGTCAAAATATGTCAACTGTTAATATTTTATTACATTTTCATTTCAAAGATCTTTAAAAGCTTCCCAATGGTATTGGTATAAAACATACTATTGTAAAATGAATAACTTATATGTGTGCAATTTATTGTGTTATAAAAATAAAATTCATTTTCATCCAAGGATAAATCTAAATTCTTAATTATCTCTACATGCATTATGGATTTCTATTAAAGTATTTTATGAATTTGTGTTAAATGATGCATAACAACATGTAACATTTAAATATAAAGGAAAAAAATGTACAATATGGAATTGTATTTCAGAACTGTATAGTATTGATAAATCATACCACACACACACACATAAATAAATAAAACTATTGCAATAATCCAGCTCGTGTAGGGGTTATTGGTATTTGGGGGCTCGAGAAAAGATCAGCCATTATCAGTTTAAACTATAATTTATTATTATTTCTAACTTGAATTGAAAACAACTCAGGGTAGGAAATGCACACTACTACCAAGTATAGGAGCAATTACACTGCAAAAAGAATACTTAATATTTGAGTATATTTTAATTCCCTTACTCTTGGAATCCTTTGTATGCCTACGGTCTAATTTACGGTAATTCCTCCCAGCTAGACTATGAATGGGATTTAGGGTGAGTTCACTGAGAGTTGCCACTTATTTTCTCCATATATTCTTATACCTTCAGAAGTGGCTTCTATAGAAATGCTTATTTGCATACACCTCGGTTCCTTCATAAGACGAGGTTCTTATATCAAATAGCAGCGTAAAGTAGCCTAAAAGGTTAGTTAACGGAAATTCTCGTGAGAATCCCCTAAAAAAGAGAGATCAACTGCCACCGCATTTCTTGTAGGTAATGTGCAACTCTATGGATCTTTTCCCGTTACTAAAGAAAACTGAATGATGTTTTAGAATATACGACAACATAAAATAGCAGCTAATTTTATTGCTGCTGCTCATCTTTTTTTCAATCTAGTCATTCAACTGAAATAGAACATTTTCTGAATGTTTCACATTTAAGCGCCGCTAGTGTTGCAAAACTGAAGACCTAAGCGTGTGTTATGTGGGAGGCTTCCCTTATTAAAGAGCTAAAGCACGTTTCTGGGGCTCTTTCGTGTGTTCTCCAACTAGGAATTGCGTGGCAGTTCCTTTCTTTCGCAATTGGACACACAGACGCGGTATTTTATTAATTCTTTGATCCAATTTCTGGGAATTGGGATTGTAATATTACATAGAGAGGAGAAAATTCTTCATTAGCAGCAAAAATTAGTTTTCAATAAGGAAGCTTACATTAGTATGGAAATATTTGAGTTTGGGTTTAAGAGATGCTCATGTTAAACTACGTTTAGGTGCAGTTTTTGATACACATAAAATGTTTCAGAGTAAACACTTTCTATTAGATCATGTTTTTTATTCTGAGTTTTTGTTAAAGTATATAATTAGTTGTAATATGTGCCGCATAATGGCATTTCAATGCAGGATTATAAACTCAAATGTGAAAGGAAATAAATATCAAGAATTAAATTCATTCTCCAAATTTCCACTCCATTCTGCATGGGAATTTTCAGACTATATTATATTCAATGTGAAATAACCTCCATGCTTATCACCATGATGTTTTTTATGGAATGAAATTTAAATTTCTTACCATTACGGTTAAAGTTTAACTGTACGAACAAAATTAACTAATTTTACCTGCTTTTACTTTGAAGGCTTGTATGCAAGTTAAAATAACGTATATGTAACGTTCGTTCTACAAAAATATTTTGTGCACTACCCATCATAATTATATTTCATTTCAACGAGGATAAGATTAAATTCCGTCTGGAAATTATTTTGGAGCAAGAAGAGATGGCACTATATTTGATTAATTCATCCGGTAGCTTCTTCAGAATGAAAAATTAGAAGTGGACTATTTAAAGAAAAAAATTCTATCTCCTGAGTGGGAATCACTTCAATGCACCAACCGCGTTAAGATAAAAAGAATGCAGTGGCTTCTTTCCTTTTGTTAGAATAAAATACTCGAACACCAAGTCCTTTTAGATAAAAACCCTTTCGAAATTTTATTCACTCTTTCAAACACTAGGCACTGAAAAATAAGTAGTTTTATTTATTCATTTTTTTACCTGCTGTATTACATTAGATTCACGAGAGCTTACGTGTTGAATAAAACGCATTTGGCTCTGTGAGCCCCTTCCAAGATTCGCGTAATGATTCATTCCGATTTGAACCGACTCCCAATAAGGGTTTCGAGTAGTTGTGTCTATTTTAAGAAGTGTGTAAGGCATGAGTTAAAATCCCTTAGTGTGCGGCTGTCGGAAGTAAGATAAGCTATAACTTCAATTTATTCTTAGATGCGAACAACGACACAAATTTACTAACCAAAGTTATGCGCTCAAATATAGAAAACAATGGCGAGATAGACGAGATACGAGAAGACTTTAAATAATCAGATCACTTACGTCTAGGCAATATCTTCTAACTCTTAGCGACCTAATCTAATTTGATTCCTATCTGACAAATCGTCAACTTCAATCTTACAATAATGAACTATGAAGTATCCGCGCCTCATTTCACGTTTAATCCATCACTGCTAGCCGTTGTAATCTAACCTCTCTCTATAACTCAAAAGTTTAATCCTTATATACAAGTCTTCATTTATATACTCACATCTTCTTCTTCGAAGGAGTTCTTTCAATCAATTCAATTTTAAGGACCCATTTTCCCCCAACATGACTGTTAGTAAGAAGCATCTGAATTTGCCAATACTCTGGGCCATAGGGAAAGCAAGAAATGCCTAGAGAAGTTTAACTATTATTACAAATAAACCGCAATCTATTAATATAAAACGATAATATTATAGCCTATAATAATTACTAAAATATTTTAAAATCAAAACTAAAACAATTAGTACTACAATAAACATTTTCCCTGGTAACAGAAAGGTGAATATCAGTAAAGCATAAAATTAGTAAGTTTTGATAGAATATAACATAAAGTCTACATAAATACATTTAAAAACTCTAAATTTTGTTTTAAAATTTATAGAAAATAAAAGTACAACCCAGACATATATATATATATGCATATCATGTATATATATACATGCTACACATATACATGCGTATATATATACATGGCCAGCAGTATATATATATACTGCTGGCCACCCAAAAGGCAACAGCAAGAAGGACCAAATGATATCACAGCGAAATTTATTTGGCAGATGACCTGTTGTACAAAGATCAAACGATTAAAATTACAGTCTCTTAGGACGTGTGGATGATAATGAAATCAGTAGTTAGTGTAGCCGTCATTGATGGCTATAACCGCTGCCACACGTTTCAGTATGGAATCAAAGAGGCTTTGCATGCATCCTTGAGGTACAGCAGTTCACGTGTTGTCAAAGTTGATCTGGTTTAGCAGTGGGTGGTGTATCCCTGGCCAGTCGTTTTGCAAGCATAAACCACACGTTTTCGATTGGCGATAGATCAGGAGAGTATGCAGATCAAGGAAGCAATTCAATCTGATGGGTAAAGAAGAACTTTTGAACATTGTGTGTCTCGTGTGGTCGCACATTATTCTGTTGGAATATAGCTGATGGTAAGCGCTGAATGTGTGGGAGAACCACGGGTTCCAACACATCAGAAATATAGCGCTGGCTGTTCAGTGTACCGACAATGCGTACTAGACGGGAGCGGCAGTGAAATCCAACACCACCCCCAAACCATGATACCGGGTGCAGGACCAACGTGGTGATGGATAATGCAAAAGTTCAGTAGCCTCTCACCACAGTGTCTCTAATCTCGAATCCAACTATCGTGATGTTGTAGTTGGAAGCAGGATTCGTGAGTAAACACATTGTAGTTCTCCATTCCATTGTCCATCTCCGCCATTCATCGCGCCATAGGCGGCGCAAACACCTGTGGTTTCCAGTCAAGGATATACGAAGCAATGGTTGCCTTGCGGACATTCCACTCAGCTGCAAACGGCGTCGAATAGTATGATCGAACACCGAATGATGCGTAACAGACTGAATCTGTTGTGCTATGGTTCATGATGGGGCTGCGTGATTCATCACTCCCAGGCGCACAATCTGCCTCTCATCACGGTCAGTGGTGCAACGAGGTGGGTGTGATTGACCCCGTCGGTCCATCGTTTCCATCTGCATCCAGCTATAACAGATGCGCATCATAGTTGCTTGGTTCATCCAACACATTTCTGAAGGATAATTCGCAATCCCTATTAGGCTACTATTCTTCCTCGGTAGAATTCAGAAACTTAGTCAGAATACGCTCGATGTCTTCCACGAGATATAGGTAAACAGTTACGCAGAAAAAAAACCCACACTAAAAAACAATTGTTGTAATTCAAATTGCTAATCTGTTCTCTCCTTATATAGCGTTTATGGGTGGCTCTACGGTTCCCCAGAATGTGCGTCAGCGCTATAATGCTAATGATTTGCATATTTCATCGCCGCCAACGCATGCTGTAAATTTCACAAGGTTTGCATGCTTTCTTCAAAATGTTGTATTTTTGTGCTAGCAGTGTATATATGAATATATATATATATATATACATATATGAAATAATATGCATGC